GTGGGGAAAAGAAATGGGGAATGAGAAACAAGCCCTCCCTTTTCTCAGTAGTGACAAGTTAGTTCAGTTAAAGCTGTCTTGTGAAACCAAAAGACAAACATTTGCCCAGTAACTGCTGTTTACAAAGAAAGAATCAGGTTAATTTCATATTTGGAATTCAGTGCAGAATAAACCAGTAAGCGTTATAGTATTAATGACTCTCCCTTGCAACGCTGACTACTTCTTTTAGAGCAGTGAATCAGCGCGGGTTGACACTGCCCTCTTCATACCTGTCAAGTTTCTCTGTTTTTCCTAATCTCCTGTGTTTGTTGAGAAACTTCGCTGAATTGAGTAATTTCTCAGGTTGCGTGAGACAGCAGTTGCTGGTTGTGCCTGCAAACTGTTCTCACCTTAGCCGAGCGACTGGCAAAGTACGGGGGGCTCCCAGAGGAGCTCCAGCCCCTCGCTCATCTCCACCCTCCCTGCTGCATCACTCTCTCCAGAAAAACTATACTTTCCCTTCCATTTACTGTCCTTCAGAAAGGATTTAATACGGATCAAAATATTAATCTGTACAAAATTAAAGGCTATGCCTAGTTTGTATTGAAGCTTTTAGTACCTCTGTCCTGCTTCTGTGATTCTTAAATAGTTCTTCACCCTCTATGACTAGAGAAAATGGAATAGGAGTAGGTAAAAGTGAGGAAGATCAACTGGAAAAGCAAGCTGGGGAGAAGTTTAAAAGGGCAGCAAAAGGCACCACTGTCACATGGAAGCTAAGCTATAAATTGTTTTTTTCCAGCTTTCGCTGACCTAGACACTAAAGTCTGCCTGATATACCAGCTAGAGTTACACTTCATTAAGTTACCCCTGCCATGCATGTAAACTTGAAGCTAGACTTTTACGCTCTTTGATTAATCCAAACTATGGAAAATGAATACTGCATACACACAACGTAATTTTTTTACTTTCAGTTGCTCAGACTTGATAACCAAGCTTCATGCTCAGGTCCTTAGTTTAATACCCTTTATTTCTCTTACAAATTATAAAAAGGTGTTTTCTTATGCAAAGTTTACTGTGGTTCTGCATCACTTATGCAAGAGAATACAGCAAAGCTATGCAGTGAATGCACCCGAAAAGACCGAAGTGTACTTTGACTCCCAACAATCAGTCACTGAAGACGTGGACAACGAAACTCATAACCCAGAACACTCTTTGCTCAACACTGACAACACAAACCCTTGCGAATTCAAAAGCTGTTACATTAAGATCTCTCTTGTTGAGTGAAATCCTTTTGAAATTCATTGTTTATACCACCATCAGCTACTTCTGCATAGAAGTACTAGTCGGTTACAGCACTTGACTAAAAATATGAAACATAATCGCATTTTAAAGCGGCTTATCAAACATTTACACTCAACTCTTAACAGCATGCCCTCCCTCCCGGCCCCCCCATTAGTCAGTGATTTCAGTCAACCACGGTTTTTAGGAAATAATTTCTACACTGCATCTACGCCTCCAGAACGAGCTTCCTACGCCAGGTCAGGCATGACTACATGACCTCAAGCTGTGACAGGACAGTAACAGTTTGACTGAATGCAAGAGTAGAAACTTGTAATGCTTTCTACTGCTTAATGCTTTGAACCATGGTCAAAAAAACCTGAGCAAGTACAGCTGAGAACCAACTGCAGGACTGGGTATTCCCTGTCCTGTCACGTTGGTCCCTTTCTGAAAGAAAACACCCAAAATATGTGAATCAAATGATAAGTGTACGCAGCTTCATTTAGGGATCCAGAGGTGTATATACTTTTTCTACTGTTTTGCTCTTGCAAAAGCCACTGTATTACTAGGAATCCATATACTACATGCACTACAGTACAGAATTAGAAATAAGATCTAATTTTTTTTAGAATCAGTATGTTTTCTTTAGCTAAGTCAAGATAAATGGAAAGTAAATACAGTAATTATGCTCAGATTTTTAAATTGTTACTATTTTAAATAAGGCTCATAGCTAAAGCAACTACGATCTTAAAACATTTGCTTTACTACCTATTTATTGCATGACAGAGCTGTTGTGTGCTTCAGCTTAAAAGCTACTTTGGTAAAACAAAACAAAAAAGAAACCATTTAAAAAAAATCCCACGTGCTTTTACAGCATCACTTCACCTGGGCACCTTCAAATTTTGGTGTTTTCTTTTCACCCTTCTCTTTCCAAGGCAGTGCTGTCTGAAAAACTAACTCTGAGCACTCTGATTGACACGGGGACTGTAACTAATTACTGCCACCAGCTGTGTACCAATCTTTTCATATGAACAACTAAGCTTCTGCCAAACAACTCCTGAAAAACTACCTTATTGTGAAGTCTTTTTAAAAGAAGAAAATAACTAATTGAGGGGTTATTTTTCCCCCTAAGCTCAACATTGTGTATTGTAGAATTTCAGCAGCATCCAGAGGAAGCACAAAACCCTCATCCATTTGAAGACAACTGATTAGTCAGAGCCCTCAGCGACCTACCCCAAAAGAATGGCAGTGAGTGACAGCGCAGAGATGGGAACCCTGATCACAGGACTCCTATAGTAGCTCCTCAAATTGCAGAAATCATCTAATCACAAACATGACCAAAAAAAAGCAGCTCATGTTAAAGCACCATAAGCCACATCCACCCAAGACTGGAATTTTCTAGGAGGTTTGGTATAAATCAGAGAACAGGCAACATCATGATTAAGACTTACGTGACAACAGGAAGCCAAATACAGATTTATGCTATTTATTTCTGAGTTTCTAACGCTTCAATTTGTTTTAATTTTTTCTTCCGAGCAAACAGAAATTTCATATGCTTGCCTGCATATGAAAAAACTTGCCTGCCATGATAAAAAGTTCGGGACCTTTAAAGAAACTTTCCATTTATACTGCAGTTTCTGTCTCGAGTTTTTGAGATCTTTTATAAACAAAAGTGAATTAAATATGAGCAGGCAAATGCTTTTACTTCTAAGAAGAGCTTAGAGAGGTTAACTTGTTAACATTGTGCAGGGACATCACAACAAAACCGAAGAGACCTCCTGACTGCCTGTCCTGTGTTGTATTGCTCATGTAATTAAGTATTTCTGAAACGAGATTAATTTTTATCAAACTGGTGGGTAACTATCGTTCCCCTCCGAGTAAAATACCCTGCAAATATCATGTGGAGCCATAAATCTGCTCAGCAGTTCCATTTCACAGCAACACGCCTATTGGGTAAGGGGTGTAACGAGCGCCTTACAAGAACGGAGCTCTCCCTTCACAGCCACCTTTGTTCCACCTAAGTGTAACTGTCTTATAAGCTGAAGTGGCACCAGCAAAGACAAGAATCATCATGTCTGGCTGCCTTATTGAAATAAATCATATCTATATTAATTCTATATCTAATCTTCCACTGAAAGTAATGAGACTAGTCTGCTTGCCTGACTCCTCACCTGCCAGGATTTATCTAGCAGAAAACAGGCTTATTCGGAATCCATTTTAAAGGGTCTTTTCCCCTCCCACCCAAATATCCTCAATCTTTCAAAAGATGGTTTTATTTTTATCTGGATTCCAATACGACTCTACAGCCTCTTTTAAAAAAAAGTTTCCTTTATCTTAATTTGAGAGTTCCCAGTTGTCACTATTTTTATTTTGGTGCCTCAGAACACCCCCAAGCACGCACCAACTGGCCAAAGTCTCCATTTTGGTACACAGGGCAAGAGCAGAGCATCAAGCAGGCCGAGGAGCTCACACGTCACAAGCAGCGGCTTTCAGCTTCAACCGAAGTACGCAGCGGCTGAAGGGTTTACGGGCAAATCTCGCAGGGCTCTACAGGGTAACAGCTTTGCGTTCTTAACTACTGCTACGGATAAATTCCCAGCGTTTAGGTTCACCTCTGTACCAAGAAGTGCTGGAGTCCCCACCACAGCGTGGTGAAGCGGGAACAGCAATCTACACCATCACCTGGCTGAGAAAATAGTTGCGGAGCGAATTAAGGTGTGAAGTACAAAACGCAGCAGGTCTCACGGGACGCGGACGTGTTGCTGTCCGGCTAAAGCCGTTCGGCAGCGGCGATGCCGCAGCGGGGCTCAGCCCCAGGAGCCTCGCACCGGCGGGACACGCTCCGGGGGAGCACCCGGGCACCCAACCTTTATCGGCGCTGCCTTATCGTCTGAGCGCACGACAGAGAGAAACGAGAAAGCAAGCGAAGCAGCTTTACATGCACGTACAAGAAACCTCTCTCCAGCGTGAGAGAATTTTGGAAGCGTGTTTTCAGCGTTACCGAAGGCGTGAGGCGTGACCACCGACAGCAGGAGGGACAAGGGGAAGGGGA